TACGTGGAGTTTTGCATGAATTGGGCATAAAATGTGCTCTGAACGTCATCTAAGTCACAACAATACAAGAACACAGTCTGCTGAACATAATACTACACAAACATTAGATGTTGCCATGGTTTAATTGCACATAACATGTAAACATTCACAGTGCAGGGAGGAAAAGTATGTGAACCTTTGGACTTAATAACTGGTTGACCCTCCTTTGGCAGCAATAACCTCAACCAAACGTTTCCTGTAGTTGCAGATCAGACCTGCACAACGATCTGGAGTAATTGTGGACCACTCCTCTTCACAAAACTGTTTCAGTGTAGCAATATTCTTGGGATGTCTGGTGTGAATTGCTCTCTTAAGGTAATGCCACAGCATTTCAATGGGGTTGAGGTCAGGACTCTGACTGGGCTACTCCAGAAGGCGTATTCTGTGCTGTTGCAGCCATTGTTTTGTTGAATTACTTGTATGCTTTGGGTCATTGTCCTGTTGCATCACCCATCCTCTGCAGAGCTTCAGTTGGCGGACAGATGGTCGTACTTTTTCCTGCAAAATGTCTTGATAAACTCTGGAATTAATTTTCCAATCAATGACAACAATCTGTCCAGGCCCTGAGGCAGCAAAGCAGCCCCAAACCATGATGCTCCCTCCGCCATGTTTTACAGTAGGGATGAGGTTTTGATGTTGGTGTGTGCTGTGCCTTTTTTTCTCCACACATAGTGTTGTGTGTTCTTCCCAAACAACTCAATCTTGGTTTCATCTGTCCACAGTATATTTTGCCAGTAGTGCTGTGGAACATCCAGGTGCTCTTTTGCAAACTTCAAACGTGCTGCAATATTCTTTTTGGACAGCAATGGCTTCCTCCGTGGTGTCCTCCCATGTACTCCATTCTTGTTTAATGTTTTCCTTATTGTAGATGTGTCAACAATAATGTTAGCATGTGCCAGAGATTTCTGTAGGTCTTTAGCTGACACTCTGGGATTCTTCTTTACCTCATGCAGCATTCTGCGCTGTGCTCTTGCAGTCATTTTTACAGGACGACCACGCCTACGGAGAGTAGCAACAGTGCTAAACTTTCTCCATTTGTAGACAGTCTCTCTTACCGTGGACACATGAACATCAAGGCTTTTGGAGATACTTTTGTAACCCTTTCCAGCTTCATGCAAGTCAACAATTCTTGATCGTAGGTCTTCTGAGAGCTCTTTTCTGCGAGGCATGGTTCACATCCGACAGTGCTTCTTGAAACCAGTAAACCCAAAACAGGTGTGTGTTTTTTAAGGGCAGGACAGCTGTCAGCAACACATCCAATATCATCACACTGATTGGAGTCAAGGTTGGCTCACTCCTGGCTCCAATTAGCTCTGGGATAAGTCATTAAGCTAGGGCCTCACATACTTTTTCCTCCCTGCACTGTGAATGTTTACATGTTATGTGCAATTAAACCATGGCAACATCTAATGTTTGTGTAGTATTATGTTCAGCAGACTGTGTTCTTGTATTGTTGTGACTTAGATGACGTTTAGAGCACATTTTATGCCCAATTCATGCAAAACTCCACGTAATACCAAGGGGTTCACATACTTTTTCTTGCAACTGTACATATATATATATATATATATATATATATATATATATATATATATATATATATATATATATATAAAATAGATAGAAGCCCCCTGAAACATGCTGAAGCCCCCTGAAACATGCTGCCATAGCAACCTTTGTTGCTCAGGGGATCTGTTGTATTTATATAGTGGAGATCCAGTATGGAGTTCCTTACCGCTGGTAATGGAATGCTGTCAGATGCCATTTCCTCCCCAGGATTATGCGTGGGTGTATTCACTTTTCATTCATTGTAAATGTAATATTATTGTTAATAAACTTTATCTGTGAAAATGTAGAAAGGTCACTGGTCACTATCCTCAGTTTTTTTTTCCTTGTTTCTATGGATATCATCTATTGTTGCGATGCAAGATAGAAGATCTTGCCATAGAAATGAATAAGATGTTTCCCACGCATGCGCAAAAGAAAGAAGTGAGAGAGATCATAGCAATGGCTATGTGACTCCCAGGGAACTACATGGTGTCAGCCTGTCAAGAGTATGGACAAGTGAGTATAAGACAGCAATCTGAAAGTACAGTTATCCTTTATTGCAATAACAAATGCATGGAAATGCAATGCTGTTATAATGTGCAAGCCACATAAAAAAATCTATTTAAGGTACACACTACAATAATTCCACAAACTAAGGCCTCAATAAAAATACACCATGCTTCTGCTAAAGGAAATTGCTTACACAAAAAACTCAATGTACAAAATTCACCCATAAGGCAAATTGAATGTTATTATTACACTTCTGTTGGTAATAATTTAAAAAAATGACCTTTGCTTTGTCTCCTAAAGAAATATCCAGTAAACCGACAACACACCCATTGCATCTCTGATCTGCCTGCACATAAAATCAACTGATCTACTTGATTGCTGCAAATAGCATATATCAATAGAAGACCCTTCACCACAAAAGGAAACCACATTTTGCTACACCATAGCATTACTAACAACTATAATTAAGTGTCAGAAATAAACCGTTTTTTTCGTCTTCTGCAACTGAGGCACAGTACAGGAGGAACACTAGCACCCGGCCACATCAAACCCTACTTTGAAATCGTGCGAATTATAGTGAAGTTGCACGATTTCAAAGTCGGAGAACATGCTAATTTCAGGTGCGATTTGTAAGATATATGATACAGATGTCTATGCAAATTTCACCAAAAGTAGTGCATGTACTACTTTTGAAATCGGTGTGGCTCTGACCAAGTCGGAACCGCACCGATATGACCGCTCTAATTGTGGACAATAGGCTGCGATTTGACATGCAATTTGTTAGTCGCATGGCATGCAAATCGCATGCCAATTCGCATCCAGTGTGACCACGGTCTAAAGAGAGAAGAAAAAAGCAGTGCTGGGATCACTGGAGAGGGAGGTGGGGTATGGTACCGGGGGAACACTGGAGACAGAGGAGTGATTGCTGATTCTCATATGTGCGGTGCGGATTGAAGCTCAGGTTTCACAGCTAATTGATACAGTAGTTTTTCAGTGGTTCAGATCAGGTTTACATCAGGTTCAGGAAAGGTTAGGATTTTATCCTGTTCACAACTGGTGACATGTGCAGTTTAGAAATGGTTCCTATAGAAGCCAATAGCCTGTAATCTGCACCTGAACCAGTGAGCAATGCTCAGAAATCGTACAGGACTTTTCAATCTGCACTGAATCCACACTGCCAGTATACTAGACATATGTGAACAGGCACCATAGGAAGCAATGTTATTTCACATGTCATGCAGATTGGATGCGGTTCAAACCAGTGAAACAGTGTCAGGGTCACTGGAGGGGTTGGTGGGGTAAAGTACAAGGGAAACACTGGAGGGGACGTTGAGGTACAGAACAGTGGAAACACTGGAGACATTAGTGGGAGGCTGTACAGAGTAAACAAGGCAAAAGAGACTAGAAGTGTTGGGAGGACAGGGGAAGAGGAGGTGTGTTATAGTTCAAGAGGGTGCTGGAGACAGAAGAGAGAAGCAGTGCTGATGGTGACACTGGAGAGGGGGGTGAGGCATGGTACCACTGGTACCGTGGAAATACACTGGAGACAAAAGAGGAGCAGCTCACTGGGGAAACAATGGACTTAAAGGTGATGCAAAGTACAAGGAGGAGCTGGAGGCAGAGTAGAAGAGCAATGCTGGGGGGACATTGAAGAGGCAGGTGGAGTACAAAGTGTGGCACAGAGAGAAAACTGGAGGCAGAAGAGAGGAGAGGTGTGGGATACATTGACATGAGAGATGAGGTACAGTGCAGAGGAAACACTGAAGGGAGAAGTAGGGCACAGTTCAAGGAAAGGAAGAGGGATAGGCATGCTGGAGGTAGTGCTGGGGGAACTGGAGGGAGAGGTGAGATACAGTATAGGTTGGGCCTGGAGACAGAAAAGAGGGGCAGTGCCAGGGGGACAGTGAAGGGAAGGTGAGGTACTGTACAGGGAGAAGATGGAGGGAGAAAAGAAGAGAAGTGTTGGGGGAGAACACTGAAGAGTGAGGTGAGGTGCTTGGGGCAGAGGAGAACAGTGCTGGGGGGACTCTGAAGGAGGGGGGGTTAGTACAGTACAAGGGAAACACTGGAGGCAGAAGAGAAAAGAGGCTGGGAGGACAGTGGAAGGTGAGGAAACATATGATATGTGGTGCAGTGGGGGTTGAGAAGAGGAGTAGTCCTTGGGGAACATTGGAAGGGGATGGATCAGAACAGCAGTACATATTGGAGGCCCAACATGTTTTAATTATACCGAATACATATGCATTGAATCATATCTATAATCAACCCACTTCCTCTCAGCCCAGGCTGTCATGAGTAAGCCCTCATGCTGTGAAAGATAAACAGCACAGTAATGAGCTTATCTCTCTGTCACTCTGCTTTTCCTCCTATTAGCATGCTCCTTGTCAGGGCATCAACTGATAAAGCTTGTTCTGCTTTTCTCTTTTCCAGTCTGTGTTCTGCAAAAAAAAAATGCTAAAGGGCTGATAGTAGCATTCAGGTACGTAAACTGCTTGCATTAAAACAAAAATTTAATGATGTGTTAATGAACACATAGCTGCATTACTTTGTGTATTTACTGTATATCTGCCTAGGTGTCAGCTTTAAAGAAAAATATTCAGAAAGTAGAGGCAACACAGATATATTGTGCAGTATTAATCAGCTAGGCTGGTTTCTGTCTCTGCTAATGCCATGTTTAACCCCTTTAAATAGATGTTCTGTGTATCTTCCCTTAAATGTAATTTATGTAACTTACATGGCACTAATGTCATAACCAGTAGAAACAACTGTTATGTAAATATAATAAGCATGAAACTGAGAATGCACCCCCAGAATGGACATATCTCCGCATGCGAACCATTTTATGCACATAATCTGCAACATTAGAGAAAACAAAAATGAGTAGAAATTATTTATATGCCTACCAACATTGGTCCCAGCTTGAATTCTTGCATCTAACATTAACAAGATGACCAAACCCAGCAGAGCAGACATGTCGTCGCGTTCAAAGAGAAGATAATGGTGAAAATTTAGCAGTGATCAGACCTGATAAATGTTTTACAGGAAGAAGAGCTAGCTGTGAGTGTGAACTTCTTGGTTACTGATTTTTTTGGTTTTTACTGCACTCTTCCTGTTGCTGGCAGTCAGTGCATTGCTAAAGACCACACTTTCACACAGTCATAGAATGTATATTACTCATCAATACACTTACATTAAAGTGGAAGAAAATCCTAAATCTAACTATTCTTAAAAAGGATCTGTATACTTACCTATTTTAATTCTGCTCTGGTCCGCTCACATGATCCTGCAACATCAGCTCAGCACTCAATGGCAGCTGGGATTTCAGAGAGCCACAACATCACTAATAAGCTCCCATGGCTCAGCTGTTGGCTCTCTGACACAGGGAAGCTGGAGCAGTGGGATCGCATTATTGAACCAGAGGAAAAAAAAATTTAAAAAAAGATAAGTATATACAGTAGATCTTTTTATACAGGCTAGACAGGATAGGTTGGAGGGAGGGAACATTTTTAAGAATAGATAATGTTAGGCTTTCTCAATTATATGCACAAAAAGCTTTTGTAATAGCATATGATTTTATTTTCTACATACATCCTTAAGGCTTCTATCACATCAGTGTGTTGCAAGAGTGCACACAAAATTGAGCATTTTCCTGCAATGCACAAAAATGTGCTGCCCCCTTGCAGGCATGTGGCAGTATCATAATTTCTAATGGCACCTCCACATATCTTGCAAATATATGCGTGTTTGCATGTGCCAAAACACATAGTACTGCAGTACCATGCATTTTGGTGTGGCACAATTTTTAAAATGGTGCAGGCACCTTGTTTGTGCACATTACTCATGCACAGGACAACGTGAGGGAACTAGTGGAAATGTGCCAAAAAGAGCGCTCAGTTACACCTCAGTGGAGTGAACAGAACCTAAAGTGGACCTTTCAGTATGTTTACAAGCCTGAATGAAAACATTATAACATGGCACAACATGCAGCAGAAGTATAATATTTCTAAAAAGATCCATTTCTATCATTAAAAATCAGCCCTTGACCTCTCCTCCAGTAGCCTTGCATAGGTTGAGATAATGTCATCAGTCTGCTGCAGGCAGAAGTAATAATATACTCAGTAGCAAGTCACAAGGTAAAAGGCTGCAACAAGGATCTGGTCTGTGTCAGACATTTGTGAACACAGCCAAGACCTACCCAGGCAGCAGGATTTACATGATTATGTCATCTGTAAGCTAGCCTCTCAGTGTCCTGCTTCCACAATCTAAGTTCTGAAGTGTAATTTCCATAACTGATCCAATTGTGGTGAGATAGCCATAGTTTACAATCTCAGCAGTGTTGGCAGACAGTGACTCAATCCAAATGACCTCTTGCAGATCATAGAAAGCTTTAACAGAAAACTTGTGCAGATCTTGACAGATGAATATCTGATAGGTCAAAATGTATAGTGTGTCTAGCTTCAGCCTTTACATGTGATCAGAACAGAAATCAAAGACACACTGATAAGTGGGTGGGACTAGCTATACACAACATCTTCTAGCTAAAGAGTCAGCTAGCAACAAAATAATTTTAAAGGCAAACAAACAACAATGCATATGTAACACGATACTACGTCCAGAAAGTAAATACTTGGGATAACAGAAAAGAAGTAGCACCCGATGTCCAGAAGAATGCAAGTTGATGGTATATTAAGAGGCGTTTATTAAGAATAGCAACAAGTACATCAAGTCAACACGTTTTGGGAGAAAGAACTCCCTTTTTTCAAGGGAAAATAGATGCTAATCTTGAATGATGCCTGAACAAATATGGCACCAACCTTCTTGATAAAAAAGCAGGCCAAGACATTGTCAGGCATACTGTGATCTCTCGTAACTGTTACACTTGCAGTGCTTAGTAAGCATGAACTTATAATGAAATAATCTATCCTGTTATAGGCCTACTTTAATAGTATTATTTGTATTAATTGATTGATTTATATTTTTATATCACTTTATCTGCTACTGGGGCAGATGGTGAGGCAGTAATCTTGGGTGCAGTCAGTAGAATATCATACAAGAGCCCATTTTAGATAGAAGACAACTAACTTACTAGCATGTCTTTGGAGTGTAGAAGGAAACCGAAGTACCCAGAGGAAACCCATACAAGCACAGGGGGAAAAAGCAACTTCGTGCAGATAGTGTCTGTCAGGGCAGGAACGCTGGAATGGGCAGGCAGGCCTATGGTACGGTCACGCTGCGACTGACAACAGCCACTACCCACAGACCAGAGTCCCTCAGGGCGCGGAGTCTAAGCCCCAGGCTACCCTTCACCAGGGCCCCTGATGGTGGGGATGGACTTGACGCAGCCTGAGACCAGGTCGCGGCCCCCGAGTGACCCCAGCTGCGATAACGACTGCCGCCAATGGCGTACAGCTGGTGGGAGCTAGATGGGAACAAGAGTAGAGTAGTCAGACAAGCCGGGTCAATAACAACAGAGCAGACAGTACTAGACGGTAGGCAAAGAATACTCAGGTCACGGGCCGGGTTCAGCAACGGGAGGTCAGATAAAGGGTTAACGCAAAGAGTAGTCTTGTCCAAGCCGAGTCGGTTACCAGGAGAGCAAAGGAAACAACACAAGAGCTTGCAACAGGGCAACATACAGGACACAAGTGCAGAGCACACTTGCAGACAGCAGGTTTAAATGTGCTCAACCACACCCTTCTGAGGAGGAGCCGCAGAAGCCTGAAGGCATAAAGGTTCCCACCATGCTTTTTTTTTTTGCAGAAAACCAAGATGGATGCCAGCTCATGGAGATGCACAAGCTCTGAAGAAAGGTAGGACCTTGACAGTGTCCTGGTTGAATTTGAACTGAGAAGTGGTAACCACTAAGCCACCGTGCTAGCCTTGCTGCTTGCTTTGGGGCCTAAGCATCAGATACCTTACATCTGTGGTAGTATTGTGTAATGGTGGTCTTCCTCGCACTGGGCTGCATGATCAGCACATGTACTTGTTAATTCATTCATGCCCATACAAGAATAAGGTCCCCTAAGCACTTGCCTGGGACTCCTGGGGATATGTGAGGATTTATTATTTCCTATGTCTCGTCCCTTTGCATAAGCTTAGCCCCTCAGAGATACCTGGCAAGACCTATGCTGCATTCTCCAGCAGTGCTTCCATATTCCTGCTACAGGTCTTACAATATGTCCACACTGCAGCCAGCACTTGTACAAGTTTAGTTACCAGGAGACATTCCCATCTTGATGTTAGGAGAAGGAAGAATACATACACCAACATTTACTTTTAGCAAGTTAATTACATATTTTACATACCTACAGTCATCCTAATCCCAAGGTGATGACACATTCTTCAGCTCAATACAGGTAACAAAGGTGAGAGCTGAGACCCAACATAAGTTCAACATCGCTTCTCCCCTGCTTACCCCTAAGTGGAAGCCTTCAGGAATTGAATCCTCACCAATCACATCTTATGTAGATTGCTCCTCACACTGCTTCCCATGATCAGCAGCCAGCTTTCCCTACCCATAGTGCCTCACAACTAGTACCGTTGGCATTACCTCATGGGCTACTGATAGCCAAGGTACACTTCACACACTAACAGGGCCGGCGCCACCATAAAGCAGCTCAGGCAACTGCCTGAGGGCGCCAGGATGGGGGGGTGGTAACTCTCATACCTCCTGCATTAAGTGGGACCTTGCAAGTGAATTCAGGTTGAATCCTGCTGGAGCACTGACTTGCCCGGCTGGGGTGTGCTAGTGTGGTTTTTAATGTCTTATGCACTGCGATCTCAATCCTGTATAGCAGCCTGCTGGCTAGACAGTGCAGACTAGAGTGAAGCCACAGCCTCCTCCTCGGCCCTGGTGTCTTCCTGTACAGAGACAAGAGAAGGAGGGACACCGCTGTGCAAGTTCCGTGCTAATCTGAGGTCTGTGATTATTACAATATAGATTACACTTGCGTGGTGGGGAACACAAGGAGGGAAGGGGGCCAGTTGACAAAAATAAATACTTGCAGTGAGATGGGGAAGAGAATATTGTATGTGCTAGGGGGTGCTTTGGGAGGACAGAGGACTTGTGCTAGAAGGGGGGGGGGGGGGGGGGGGGGGGGTGGTGGATATGAAATCTGATCATAAAAATTAAAAAATTATTATTTAAGGTGCCTACTGTGACAAAGAAAATATTAATTACATATAAAGTATGAAGCTGCCGCTAATTTAGTGGATGCCCACATTGGTGACAATGTGTGATATAAGTAGGTAGGTGCTACATAAAAATAAAATACAGATAGGTGAAATGTGCAATTATTGGGGGACTCGCTACATGTCCCTAAATAGAACCAGTTTAAATAGGTATCTCAAAGTGTAAACTGTATTCCCATAATTTATACAGAAAACATATAAACCAAAAGTAAAAAAGTCCACAAGTATAATTGTGCTTGAATAAAGGTGACAGTCCTTTCAACTTCTTTAAACTGTGATCCGAACCAAAAAAGAGAGAGTGACTTGAATCTTGAATCTTCACCACGTGCCAGCAGGAGCAAGTAAAGATTGCTCACTCACCAGACCTTTTGACACCAATTAAGGTGGTCAGATGCGCTTTTTGGTCATATAGGAATCCATCCTCTCAAGAAATATCTCCCCTCCAGCAGCTCTCTGCTTATGGTTATAAGCTATGGAATAGGGACTCCCAAAATACCTCCAATATTTGTATGGTGTTCGATATGGATTATCCTTTCGCATATATAGTGCCGGTACACTGCTGGTTGGTGAACCTTAGTCTTCTGACTATTCTGACACCACTTAATCAACTGGTTGCCACACCTTGGCCTACCTCAGTCTACTTTTCTACCTGGTACTGTAGTGCTCTTGTCATTTTGGGGTTTTTCTGCTCTTTCTATTCTTAGGCAACAAGGTTTCCCTTACAGGGGTTTTCAGCATTCACCATGACAGATTTTCCAGCCTCCGTGATATCAAAACTC